ATCCTTCTAACAACCCTATGAGATGGGGAGAGAGGGAAACAAACCAGACAGATGGGCATGTTTAAGTTCACCCAGTGAATTTCACAGTTCAGCATGGACTAAAAGCTGGATCTTCCAAGTCCCAGTCCAGCACTCTCATCACGACAGCACATGATATGCCAGTGATTGATACAGATGAAGCAGTTTCAGATAGGTTCTCTTAAACAGATTTGTAAGGTTTTTTTCCAAAAAAAGAAAACCTTAATTTTTTTTTAATCATTTCAAGAATGACTTTTTTGTCTCTCATATTTGAGGCTCTTGCAGGTAAGGAAGCAGAATGTGAAAGGTAGGAAGAGATATCCTTTTGAAGAATGGAAATAAACTGTGTGAACAAGCCAACAAACAAAGAGGCCAAACATGATGGAGGTATGCAGAGAAATGCCAAGAGCTACAGCACCAAGATAAACATATAAGACATTTCTTCCCAAAATACAGTGCTAATTACACATGTTGGCAGCACTGACTGGAGACATTATGCTACCTGACACAGAAGAAAGAACTGCCCTCTCCATCACACACTCTGGACTAAGTCCATAGTACCCAAGTCCATACTGGGTACACAGTACACAAGTCCAGTTCTGTGCATGACATTAACAATCCCACAAGCACCTCTTCCCACATCCCATGGCAGTTAAAGGGAAAGGAACATTGTGATTCACTTTGAAATTTGCTGCCCTTTCAAGACACCCACAAATCCACTGGGTGAAGTGGCTGCCTCACTCTTTGTGAGATGCCCCTACACTTTTATAAACTTCCACGAAAGGCTGAAATAAGTAAAAGCATATCCAGTGCCCACAACACATTGTCCAACTGAGTGAGGGACTGGAAGAAGGCTTTGGGTGTGCTCTCATCAATGCCCCTCCTAGGGAGGAAAGGGATTAAATTTACTCACTGGCTCAGGGTTGAACTCTATAGGAGTGGGGTCTTTACAGCTGCAGACACTGCCATAACCTTCCACCTTGCTACAGAACCGTTTCCGCCGTCGGTTCAACTCTGTATCTGGCCAGTGGCATTCTGCATCTGTGAGTACAATTGCAAGTGGGTCAGAAAGCTTCAGATATGAATGCACTTTAAAATGGACAGCCCTCTACTTTTCATGTTTATGCAGTGACAGCATATAGTGAGAAACAAATGTGGCATCAAAGACTGGGCCACCTTTCATTTTGTAGAATTTGTCTCAAGGCAAGAGGGAAACAGCAAACAGAACACTGCTATGAGGCACCGAGAAGGCTGAAGAAAGAAAGCTACAGTCAGAAAGGATCTACTGAAAGTATGTACCCCTATTCCAGGCCCAGCAATTTTCTGTAGCAATCTGACCTCAAAGTTATATCAAATTATTTTCACTGGTCTTCAGCCCAAATGAAGGGCTTCTTGTTCTTTCTGCTTCAAGCATATTGCTCAGGTACCCAAAACTCTGATATAAGCAATCCTGTTTACTCAGGTGATTAAGACCTGAACTTTTGATTCCTTCACTCTACTGACGCTTTCAATCTCCCAACTCCAATTAGGTTCCTGCCTTTCCCAATCATGATGTTGTTCTAGGTTTATTGGGGCATCCCATGTCTCTTGCCTAACAAGGTTCTTCCATGTCAAGGTCTCCCGGAAAGAACCAAGCATACTATACCTTCTACAGAGGTTAGCTGGACTTCAGTTTTTAACAAGACTGGCTCTCCCCATGAGGAAAGCACTGGAGACTTGGCATGTTTTTCACCATAGACTTCACCTGTAACAGAACATATTACCATTAAGGCCAGGAGACAGTTGATTACCACCAGTTGTTAGTTATTACTGTGCCTGTCTGCCACCAGGCAAATGCTGTTGCTACAGGAATCCAGGTGGATTAATCACTAAGCAATGAAGCTAAGCCAAATCTGGATTTTGTTTTCTGGGCACCATGCACCCCATCACTGGGGGTACAGGCAGGATCAGCAAAGCATCCTCTCAGAGTGATCAGATGCCACTTAATTTTTTTTTAAAAAGAGTTGTATAGCAGAAGAAGGGATGCCTGTAGACAGGGCTTCTCTCTACAGATAGGTCTGTTTTATGTCACAGACAATTATTAGCAATGCAAGAGCCCTGTCTTCTGTACCCCATGCTCTCCTTAAATGAAAAGGTATAGTTGTCATAGAGAAGTGAAGATAAAGAACCTACTGCAGAAATGTGTGTCTGTCTCATCATCCTTGTGTATCTTTCTTTTAAAAAGTTATTGCTTTTGGACAACTAGGCACCCTTGCCCTGTTTCTTCCCTGGAGAGAAACTCATACCAAGACTTGACTTATGCCAAGACTCAATTCTTACCTCCTTTCTTCCCCACAAATGTCCACATGTCCCTCCAGCTAAGGGAAGCAGCAACCTGGCTTCCTAGGCTCTTCAGAAGACTTTTTGCTGTGTCTTTAAGGTGGAAGGACCCCTCATCCTGGAAAAAAGAAAGGAAAATAAATGCTACAATAGACACAGGATTATCTCCTTGTCTCTAATTTTTGGAATCATCTTTACTTTCAGGAGCAGTAATGGCCTGAGAGACTTCTCTCTTATTTCTGAATTGGTTATAAAGATTACAACTATAACAGAATAGCATGTTTCATTTAGAAGCATCTGATAAGATTCCAGTTTTAGAGTATATTCCAGGCATCTGACACACATCTTACAACATAGTATAGAGTGTCACATTCACATCAGTGTCACATTCATCCCCTCTGGAGTATTTAATACATTAGGACAGAGATAAACAATTTCATGCAAGTGAGGAGGGAAGAAGAGAGGGAGAGAAAATAGGATTGGGGGAGGAAAGAAACAAGTCAAGGACAAAGAGAATGATGGAAGGAGAATGGGAAAAGCTCTTGCTAAATCATTTGTTCAGCTTACTGGCAAGAGTCATCAGTCTCTCTGCCAGCATTTACAAGGCAGAGAGGGAGAGAGAAGAAAAAGGAGAATTCACAAAAGGGAATTGGGGAAGAGAGAGAGAGAAAAAAAATGATTGCCCTTGTGCACTTGTGGTCCCACTCAGTAAAAGCACACTGTTCTTGGCACACTGTGCTTGAGGGAACATAGTCCTTGACAGGGGAAAAGTAGTTTCCTCACCTCTGCACCAGAACATCAATAAGGATGATTCTATAATTGGAACCAGTTAGTTCAGCCAGGACAGAAACATATGGCTAGACCATGCATGGGCAAAGTACTGATGAAAACCGTTTGGACCCAATACTGAGGAAACCAATTTTGATGCCAATCAGGCCTCCAAGGAGAGGGCATTTTCCACAACTGGGGTACCATGGCTAAGAAGACACATCTACACAGTGTATACCTCACTGGTAGGATACAGAGGAGTCCCTGCCCCCAGTAGACCTCAGTCCTCAGGCAGGCACATACAGGGAAAGGCAGAATGCTGGGAGTTGCAGTCCAACAACATCTAGAGGGCCACAGATCCCCTAGCTCTGAGCTAGACCAAGCCTTCAGTGTCACATTTTTTCTTCTGCTGCCTCCAGCATTATAGTGAACCAGCCAGATAGCCGTCAACTACATCCCACGGCTCATAACTATATTTTCTAGTCTGAGAACTTGCAGACACCAAGAATTTTGGCCTGAATCCAATTCCTTTACTCAATACAATAGACCCACTGAGTCAAGTGCTGAATAAGTCAATATATATGCTACTTGCATAGTTTCAATGTGTCTACTTTAGCTAAGACTAGCGTTGGATTCAAGTCTATTTTTTCTAACTTAAGAACTTCATGAAGGGAGATTGGCATTATGGACTTTTTTTTTAAAGCATTTTTAAAGCAAACATAAATCCTTCTTTTTAAATAATTAAGAAATAATGTTAGCCCAAACAAACAAACACAAATACAGCATTTTGAGTTGATCTGAGTCAGGCTTATAGAAATGGAATGCAGACTAAAAGAATGCAGCATCTATCAGTAATATGTGTAAAATCTATATAAATTGTCAGTTACATAATGAAAGAAGTGTGTAACCACAGGAGCAGCCCTATTTGCTCGGATTTAGTGGAGGGACAGGGCTGCCTAAGGCAATTTGTTGCCTGAGGTAAAGCAGCAAATGTTGTCTCTCTGCCACTGTGTCCCCTCCCCCCAAAACCGTAATACTCAAAGCTAACCAGGGTGCCATTCATACTAAACAATTATAATACTATGATGCCATTTTAAGTGCCATGATTCCATCTTATGGAATCCTGGGAATGGCAATTTAGGGAGAAACATTTAGAATCTCCAGCCACAGTCCTCTAGTGTCTCACAATATTACAATCTCAGAATTCGACAGGGATGAACCATGACAATTAAAATGGAATAAAAATGCTAAAATTGCCTAATATGCATGGGTTCCATTTTAGGCAGAAAATCCCACAAGAATCCCTCTCTGGCCCTGGTAGTAAACAACAACAACAACAACAACAATTAATTTGCTGCTTTTCAAGTTACCCCAAATTATTGGGCTGGGGTGGGGGAGTGTCTCTAACTTTACCTAATGATAGAAGGTGCTTCTGGGAAGAGCATCTTTTTTGCTCAGGCCAGGATAGCCAGGGATGTCACTAACAGCAGTGAGGGAGGAGGGCAATATCACCATGTCTCCCACCCCAGTGAGGATTCAAATTCCCATCAGGTCAGCTGTCTGATGGAGGAGCAGCCCTATCTACTGCCCTAGATATTTTCTGACCTATTCCCAAATTTTACCAACAGAAGGGTGGGACAATGGGTTCCCCACCCCCAAGACACTCAGAACCTGTGTATCTTTAATCAGGAGTCTTTTACTTTGAAGATGGAAAATCTACTTACAGAACCTGACTCTGTTTTGAAACACATTTTGTAATCCAACTTTTACTACGGAAATCCTTCATTGCAAGACTGTATAGACCAATTAAAATAAACTGTCTGTACTATTATTTCTTCCACAGAATGGAAGAACTGGTCACCAAAAATAGGTCAGTAGTTGTAGAGTTGAGAGTCAGCTTGATGTAGTGGTTTGAGGACTGGACTATGACTCTAGAGACCAGGGTTCAAATCCCTGCTCAACTATGGAAACTCTCTGGGTAATTTTGGGCAAGTCACACTGTCAGCCTCAGAGGAAAGCAAAGGCAATTCCCCTTTGAACAAATCTTGGCAATAAAATTCCCTGATAGGTTTGCCTTAGGGTTGCCATAAGTTAGAAATGACTTGAAGACACAGAACCAAGTTGCAGAGTTAGAGGCATTTTTTTGTGAAAAGGAATAATTTTATATTGTACACATCTTTAAGACAAAAGATCATACTATCTGCATTTTATACCTTGAAGAGTCAGGACTCCAACTTCCACCTACCTTAATTGTGAAGATAAGGATTCGGCCTCTGGCTACCATGTTGAGGAAAAGGACCATGGCTTCATCCTCATGTGGTGAGTAGGTGTCAAAAACCCGCTTTGCCATCACATGACCCTATTCACGTACAGAGAGGAAGACTGCATTAGACATAAGTTGTGAGTGAGCTCTGCTTGGATATGTCAGAAACAATGTAGGATATTAAATCACATCCAAACTTAACATGTTAATAAAAGACACAAAAAATAGCGAAGGCTGTATGTATATAGTCTATGTGTGATGGCAAACTTATACCTTTTTATGGTAATACTGTTTCATACATCATACAATACAGCTGCTGTTTCTATCTTTTGTTTAAGACAGATGTATTTATTTATTTATTGGTATGAAAGTTCTCAGGTTTTTAGCCCTGCTTCATACAACTGTAGGTGAGTTACTTTATGCCCAGCTTCTGGGGGTGGGGATAAGAAGAATGACTTCCTTCAGAACATTAGTACTGATACTGCTTTCCAGTTTCCAGCCCCAATCACTTACTGTAGCCTGATTCAACACAATCACATGGATGCCTCTTCCTTGCTCCCGTGCTTCATCTTCTAAAACCTGTAAAATGATAAAAGGAACTGCAATAACACTGAATCCTTCTAGCTATCACTACCTCTCCTTCCAGGAACTTTCCTCATTATGTGCTAAAGTTCTGAAAACCAGAGTACATCTAAACACCACAGTTATAGCAATCTGATACTACTCTAAACTGCTATGGCTCCATTCTCCAGTATCCTGAGCTTTTTGGGTTGGGTAGATACTTAGAATTCTTAGCTTGACAGTTCTAGGGTATGTCCTTAAAGTACAGAACCAGAGTTCTCTAGCTCTCTCACCAAACTTCAAATCTCAGGATTCAGGAGGATGGAGTCATGACAGTTAAAGTGACATCAGACTGTGGTAACTGTGCATTGCAGATATACTCCCCTCAATGATCACAGAACTTGCTTTTTACCATCATTTCCCTTGCTTATAGAAACAATTCAGCATGTAGCTGATAGTTACAGTCAAAGAAGTTGGGAGCAGAGATGCATGTAAAGGTTAAAAAGAAAAAACAGTTAAGTGTAACTATAAGACAGAATCATTTTAAGGCTGCAATCCTACGTTCAATTACTAGGATTACTAGGGAACAGACTCCAGTGAACACAGTTCAATTAACATCTAAGTAAACTCACACAGCTGTAAAGCAGGATAAGCCATACAGTTTCAAAAGAGTGCTGTGCTTTGCTTTAGAGCAAAATTTGAGAATTTACTGTTATCTTGCTTATTCTATCTTTCCTTCTGCCTGCAAGCACAAACCCTCACCGTTGTGCCATCCACTGCTACGTAGACCTTGGAACGGCTCGAATACACCTCAATATCCAGAACTTTCCTGTTATTGACAGGCCGGCGTGGGATCTCCAGGTTCTGCAGGCCTTCATCTAGGGTGGAAAAAAAAAAAACATAATGTGCTTTGACTTTCTTATCAATGCCTCCCATATAAATCTGCTTGGAGAAATTAATCTTTGTGTCCCACCACCAAAAATGGTGGGATCACAAGACAAGTCCTCTTCCATGCCTGAATCTTAAGTATGATATTCCCTTGCAAGGGAAATTAGACTGGCCCATAATTTATTATTTTCAGGTGGACAGGAAAAATTCTCTTGGCTTCTAATGAGCTACAGCCCTAAACTGAAAGCTTTTAGTGCCATTGTTTTTCATTGTACAGCTTCATATTTAATTTAGTTTACTATTGTAAGTTTTGTTTTGTATGCCTCACTGGAAGATCTTGTCAGCATGAAAAGAGTAGTGTGTGTGTGTGTATTTCTGGGCTTTGATTTATTTTAAAAAATAAATATTAGAAAATAAATACATACAATCCAAAGATCCCTATTCTAAAAGGAGTGTTACACATAATTTTTTTACTCTCCTCTGTTTTAAAAACTGTATAATATAACCTTTTTAAGAATGATTCTTTACTAATCTATTTTATCTATTAATTCAGGGTTTCCAGAAGTCTGTGATGGGTCTGAAGATTTGGAAAGTACCATGAGGTGACTGCTTACTTGCTTGCCCCACCTGCCCCATTCACATACATGGTCAACCTCTTTGTCTCCATTCAAATTAGTTTAAAAGTTCATTTTAGTATCTAGATGCAAAGTCACCAAGATCAACAGGGCATATACAATCATCCTGTGGTTAGTCATATGGGGTGCATCCCATGTATTAGAGGATTTGAGTACACTCTGCTGTCCACCAGAGGTGGGATTATATGAGCTGTAGCTCAATGTATATGTATGGTGACAGATTTGGGACAGCAGTCTTAATGTATACTGTCTGTGGGAGACAATGACTGGACATTCTACCATCATAATCATTAGCAAAATCACCACTATCACCATAATCATAAGAATATATGTATACACCTATATGTAAGGAGCGAGATTTTGAATTTTCAGCTAGAGGGCTCTCTGTGTTAACTAAACTACAACCCCCAGGATTTGATAGGACATAGCCAGGGTAGGTAAAGTGGAATCATAGTTCTATAATTGTGAAAAGGTCCCCAGTCACAGCCCTTCACATCCTCACCATAATCTTGAGCAGACTCCTCCTCTTCATTAGCTGCTCTTCTAGTGTCCAGAATCAGCTTGATGTTCACTATGACAGTTACCAGTAAAAAGACCACAGCCCCCATCTGCAAGGGAAAAGTTTCCATACCATTACACAGATAGCAAAACCTTAGAAATCCCATACTTTGAGTCCTATTGCTTTGCTTCATTCCCAGGCAAAGTTGTAGTACTGACAAAACACCAGAACAAAGGTTTTAAGACTATTTTGCTATACCTCTCAGTTAGTTCCTCACAAGTGAAATGTGGTGTCCACCACCTCAGTTCATATCCAAAGGGCCTATTCTAGGATGAACAATATATGACCCTCTAGAAGACCACCACTACCACTACCACTAGTTAGCACAACCATTGGTGACGGAAGATGAGAATTGTATTCCCAACAACATCTGGAGGGCTACATGTTCCTCACTCCTGCTTTAGACATTGATGGGAAGGGACAGCCCAAGACATTTTGATGCCTGAGGAAAAGGATATAATGGGACTGCTTCTATTCCATGTATAGAAGCTGACTGAACTGAATTTTACTTCCACACTGGCAAGGAGATAGCATCTCCCAACATTCTGAGGATAATACTCTTGTCCTTCCACATTAGTGGCTTTGGCTTTTGTGGATGTGATTATTCACTGATTTGATTAATATGTTCTCTCTAGGAATATATAGGTCCTCCAGTGCAAATCTATGGCCAACTTTCACTAAAAGTCACATTGAAGGACTTAGAGCAGGGGTAGGCAACCTTTCCCCTTTAAGGGCTGAGGGACTTCAGCTCCCAGAAGCCTCAGCTATGTTGGCCAATAGTCCCATGTTGGCCAATAGCTCCTGGGATTCTGGGAGCTGAAATCTCTCGGCCCTCAAAGGGGACAGGTTGCCTACCCCTGACTTAGAGATTCCTAGAGAGAACACTCACTAGGCATTTGTAGCTCTGCCAGTGTAATTCTATGGTCACTGTCTGGTAGATATTGACCACGGAATTGCACTGGAGGACCTACAGATTTCTAGAGAGGTGTTCTCTCAGGTAAAAACATAGTGTTTTTGTTATTTGCATTTTTTCACATTCACGGGGGTCCTGTGCCCCTAACCCCAGCAAATGTGGAGAGAGAAATGTAGAACATCAAAGAGGATGAAGAACACACACAGCTCTGCCCTACAACAGTAGAAGATGACCATCAATCACAGGTAAAATGTTGATGGGCTACCAATGCTGTTCCATCATCAACCAACTGAAGCACTGCTTCACTCCACCTAATGATAGGGCTGGCCCTCATGGTGTAGTTTTTAGCTTCTTAAAGCACATCAGTCACAACTACAGTTTCCATTTCCTTTGGAGAAAGCAGGAGGAGCAGGACACATCTGTACCAACTACTGCCAATATCTCCAGTTCTCTCTAGCAAGTACCCAATGATTCTTTATAGTCCTTAGAGGTTAAGTGCTGGCACTTGGAGTTGGTTGTCAGGCTAGAGTCATGGGACAAAGACAAAGTGTTCATTCCACCAGTTCATGATATTACCATTATCAAGGGGCATGCAATTCCAGGGCTTGGAAAAATTCCTTTCTTTGACTCTAACCACCCACCCTTAGACCCAAATCCTTCAGTTAGCTTGGTAAGTGACCATGCTGCTTGGAGTGATCTTGAAACTGTTTTAAATGGTAACTTTCAAACTCTAGACAATAAATGATCCAAATCTGGGAGAATTTAGTGACCTCACAAGGATTCTAAATACTTGCTTCAAAACAGGCAGGCTGTTTTGACATTGAGATGTTACTGCCTGCCTGGTTTTCCAAGTGGAAATTTCCTCAGTAATTCCAGACTGCCTTGCTCCAAACCAAAAGGAAAAGTAATGAGAGAAATGTGAAGACAAGAACAGTGCCATGGGTAAAAAAACTGAATACAAACCAGTCTGGTAATCTCAAGGGGATCCTTTTTAAAAACAACAGCAGCAACAAACCTATCAGCAAACCTGCACATCTCTGGCAGCTCTTAAGCTGGTGCTGCAAGAATAGTTATATGACTGCTGCCACAGGAGGCGGCTTACAATACAACATTCTTGGGCAAGATGGAGCAACACTGTACTTTTA